CGTAAAATATAAAAATCCTCTCCAAAGTAAAGGCAGTGTTCACTCTCTGTGGGAGGCGTAAGCGCCCAGAGAATGGCGACAAGCGTCAACAGTAGCAGTCTGTACTCTTCTCGAGGGTCTTCTACAAACACGGCTTGTTGATCCTTAGAAACGTGCTGGCATCAATTTACTATCGAAACGAAGAGAAAAATCGTAGAAAAATTCATTGTAAAACTGAATACCTCACTGTTCGAGTCAAATCCTCTATTTTTAGCGCGAAGGCAGGACAGTCTACCACTGCTTCATCATGAAAAATGAAAATTTTACGATTTAGTAAAGCAGAGGTATTTGACTTGCCTGGTGCCTGAGCGCAGCGTAATTGTGCTTTACCAGTGGAACACTATGCAATGAGGGGATTTTTATAAATTGCGTAAATTTATAAGTGTAAATTGAACATATAGGATACGTAGACGAGGGGGAAAAAACTGAAAAAACGGTGAAATTGCTGGTCGAAGTGATTTTCATGACCAGAAATACCAAGAATATTAAAACTTCCCCGACAGTAGTGCTTGGATCCGAGCATAGATAAGTTAGGTCATTTGATCCTGTGCATACCTTCAGTTAAAGGTGAGTATTGATAAAAACAAGGTAGAAGTTAATTATAAATAAATAATTTGCCAACGCACTGACTACCGGTGCGAAGATGCGTTTTTTGCGTAGTTCTCCACGGGTTTTTGTCGCCAACGACATCGGTTTTTCCTGCAAGTGTTTCTAGCTAAGAGAATTGAAACTGGCGGCGAGGGCTGTTAGGAAACACCCCTTAAAATTTCAGCTTTCTAGTTTTCCTGGTTCCCAAGCTAGCGGCTTGCCCGTGAAAAACTTACACGAGCAAGTACGTGGGCACCACGCGAATAAGTGCACCCGTTTTGAGAATTATGGCCCTTACGTGCATGTAGATTAGGTTCCCAAAGTTGCAGCCCTGTAGCTTTTGTAGATTTCGAAGTGAAAAATCGATACAGACGAACAAACACTCACCAGTATGCGTTTTCTGTATTGCATAAATGCAAAAAAAAAGCATAAAAAAGAAAAACAAGAAGAGGGATCAAACAGACGGTGTCTAGAACACTTGAGAAATGTAAATATTTGGTATTGGTTCAGATTCAAATATTTGTAAATAAACACAGCAATAAATTGCTATATTTAAACGTATGCAAGTAATCACATAAAAGATTTTTGTATGCACCATGAGCTTTGTGTAGAAAAAAGATAGAGACGGTAACGCCCGTCTTCAGTATCTTATGGCATAGCAAAACGAATGAAGGTACCAGTCATATTATATATAAAAATATAAAATTACATTAAGAAAGCATTGGGAATGGTGATTCAGTCTGTTCCCATAATGCTTTAATTTCGATTCGTCATATGTTTAATTTTGAAGCAGAGCTGCAAATCGCATTTTCAGGTGTTATTGCATGAACGAGACAACGAGCACCCCAATCTTCTGAAACTTATTTTTATGCTGACGGGATTCGCACTGATTGGAGGGCTGCGATTTTTCGATGAACATTCACACGAACATTCTTATGGATCTCATGAAAAATTGGCTGCCACTTCCGCATCACCTTAGTCTCTCATCGGCACAACTTCAATGCCGGCAACAAGAATTTATACTTCCAAAGAGTCCGTTTTTGTAAATAAGACGGTAGGCTCTTCAGCCTTTACTTATTGTTGTTTCAGTCCGGTCCTTTTTTTTGATAGCTGGTTAGAATCATTTCTTCCGTGTTTTTCTAATATTGTCGTCGAACTTTTGCTTTATTGGATGGGATTCTTCAAAACGGGGGTCTTGTTTTGTATGAATTACAACGTATTTTTCTCATTTTATGTTGATAGTTTATATTTTTTTAAAATTATACCCTTTTGCTAACCTGTTGCCCGCCGACCCCAGTACACATTGCACCTAGAAATTTTCATGTACAGTCGAAGATGTGTCATATTCCCCGTTGATCATCTTTTCACTACTTTTCATTTTTTTGAAGGGGAATGTTAGAAGTATCACGAAAGGAATGCGTTTTGTAAAAGCGAAAACAAACTGAGATGCATTTATATTTTATGGTAGTGGTGTGTCCCGGTGTGCGTTCATCCTAGAACTTGATGCACAACGTTAAGCCGGAACGCCTCACAGATTTCGAAGTACAGTTGAGCGCCGAAGGGCTGAGAACTTTCTCCTGGCCAAAAATTTTTTACGTGGTTTGTGTTTGTATACGGATGGAGAATTCCGGAAAATTTTCATTAACTGGTAGTATTTTCTGCAATTATAGCCATTCGGTGGCATTAAGCGTGTATCGAAGTGTCCTGTTATCATTTGTAGTACTGAATGTTACAGTTTTTTCTACATTTTATTGCTTTAATATGCTTTTCCCGCATTCGGGAAAAAAGCTGGAGATTTCCGAGACGGTCCTAAAACTCAAGGACTCATGTGTGTTTCTATCACTGACTTGCTTGACCGGTTTATCATTGTAGTGTGAGGGATTATACAACATATCATCAGGTTTGGCACCGGTAGCAATGATTGTAAAGAAATAACGCTGTCTTCACATGCTACGTAATCCCACTGAATTTGTAGAAATAAACTCGTTTGGTCGTTTTTGTCTAGTAGAACTGACAACAAACACATTCAACCGGTTCA